AGAGAGAGAGAGAGAGAGAGAGAGAGGGTGCTTCCATCGATAGGATGAGCAAAATAGATGGAATGAGCGAGAACATCAAAATATGAGAAGAGGTTAACCGGCCCCCCATTTTTCACCTCAATTTATAAGAAAACCATAAGGCCATTTTAAGCAAACTTCATACCGATGTATAGAGTGCACTTCTTACTAACATATTATAAAAACAAAACAGAAAAACAAAAATTAAAAACATATAAAACAGCAAGCCAAAAGTGCATTTTCATGAAATTTTGGCAAAAAAACTCTCATCAAATTTTCACAATTTTCACCACTCTTCACAACACAAATTCTAATACTCCAAATGACATCAAATTTGACACACAGAAAGCTTGTCCAAATGAAAAAACAGGCAAAAAAAAAAATCCAAAAAAACACAAAAAAACCCTAAATTCAGGATCATTCAGGATCATTCATCGTTACCTAGGACCTAAAAGTGGGGGTCCCTGTTAACCGCTTATGTCGATAGGATGAGCAAGATCGAAATATACACTACTGCACGCGCGGAAGTGTGTGTGTGTGTGTGTGTGTCCATCCATAGGATGAGCAGAATAGAATGAATCGGCTAGAACATCGAAATATACACTACTCCAGGTGCGGGAGACCGCATGTGTGTGTGTGTGTGTGTGTGTGTGTGTGTGTGTGTGTGTGTGTGTGTGAGTGAGAGAGAGAGAAAGAGAGAGCGAAATATACGTGTTTGTGTGTGTGTGTGTGTGTGTGTGTGTGTGAGAGAGAGAGAGAGAGAGAGAGAGAGAGAGAGAGAGAGAGAGGTAGGTTACTTCCATCTAAAGAATGACCGGAATCGAAGGAATCTACCGCTACAACATCGATATATACACTACTGCACGCGCGCGCGCGCGCGCGTGTGTGTGTGTGTGTGTGTGTGTGTGTGTGTGTGTGTGTGATTCATTCCTAGTTTGCTCAAGCTATCCGTGGAAGTGGACTGGATTCGTTCGATTTTGCTCATCCTATCGATCGAAATGCCCTCTCTCTCTCTCTCACACGCATACACATGCACACACACGTGTAGCAGTGTATATTTCCATATTCTACCGAAAGATTCCTTTGATTTTGCTCATCCTATCCATGGAGCTAGCGTGAGGCCAGCCACGGTGTTAGAGACTTACCCGTTGGCCGGTGCTTTACTCAACCTATAGATGCAAAACTCTCTCTCTCTCTCACACACACACACACACACACACACACACACACACACACACACACACACACACACACTCAACAGATGATGGATAGCTGGCTGATGAATGTGAGAGACTCTCTCCCTATCTCTGTGTCCGGCTCTCTCTCTCTCCCTATCTCTCTCTCTTTCATACAGAAAGTAAAACAGAGAGGAATACACGGGAAGACAAAAGCAAAGGCACGTGGATTCTTGATTTTTTTTATTTTTTTTCCCCCCGAAACACCATCCGGGTAACAAAAAAGGGGAAAAGGACACAGCAAATCTTATTGTTTCGGATTTCAAAATATTACGACATCTCAGAATTTTAAAAAATGCAAAAATGGCAAAAAAAACAAATAGCATGGTGTTTACAACATTGTTGTCATGCACATTCATTTGAGATCTCATCATGCTTTTCTTCTCCGCAGCGCGGCTGCGGCGGGTCCACTTGTCATCTATAATTTCCCTTTATGTTTTTTTGACCCCATTACCTGTACCCATTAGCTATCCGGTCATTCATTGTCTTTATCCAGAACTGTGTCGTTTCCTCTGACGGTTAAGCTGTTCCGCTGTGCTTTCATTACTTGCTTGCTCGTTCACGCAGGGAATTCTTGGCTGTTACGACAGGGAGAAGGGAAGGGTGTTCCTTTCCGAGGAGCAGCTGAACCGCACTCGCGTCAAGGCGAGGATGGCCCCGCAGTTCACGATGACGGTGACGATACTGCTGCTGGGCATGGCCGTGCTGTTGGCGGCGAGCAATACAGGCCTGGGGACGGTGGGAGCTGTAGCAGCAACGACTATCACAGAGGAGCAGCGTCTGGTCGCTGCATTGAAGGACCCCAAGGTATCCCAGTTCATTTTGACGTCGGATGTGGTTCTGACGGCGTCTCTGCCTCCCTCCACAAAGGATTTCACGCTGGTGGGAAGATGCAGGGACCAACGGCAGAGACCACGCCTCTGCGTTGTGGATGGAAACGGGAAGTTCCGAGGTTTCGACAGCGAGGGATATAATGTGCACATGACCGATATCCACTTCAAGAACATGTGCGACATCAACGGGGTCGGGGCGGTCGCGTATGTGGCTGACGGGAGGATCAGGGCGACGAGGTGCGTGTTCGAGAGCAACAAGGCTTTTACCGCAGGAGCGCTCGCTGTCCGCGACTCGCCTCTTACGGTGACCGACTGTCAGTTCCGGAACAACTGGGCAGTGGAGGCGGCAGGAGCGATCAGGGTGTTCAGCAACGGCGTCGGAAAAGTCAGGAGGTCTGTGTTCAGCGGCAACTCCGCCGGCGAGAGCGGAGGTGCGGCTCGCGTATACGAGGGTGGGCTCGATTTCGTCGACTGTAAGTTCCATGGAAACTCGGCCAGGAAAGGCGATGGCGGCGCGGTCATTTTCGGAGGTGACAGCGCCGGTGTGATCTCCAGGTCTGAGTTTGTTGGGAACTCCGCCCGCAATGGGTCGGGTGGCGCCGTGGAAGTGGAGGGTGAGACAGCCATCGACAACATCAATTTCTGTAGCTGCACATTCCGACGCAATAGCGCAAAGACTCCCGGGAGCTTCAATGTAGACATCGCCAATTACACCCGAGTCACCTTCTGCAGGAATAAGCCCCCAGGTCTCCGTGTTGACGAGCCCGCCGAGGCCGTCGTCAACTGCACTGTTTGTGCGAAGCGGGTCTATCCCGGCAGCAAGAAGAGTCATTGAAGCCGCGAGTAGGGCGGGAGTTGTTCTACTGTTTCAGGCGGGAGTTGTTCTACTGTTTCAGGCGGGAGGAATTATATCGTGGATGCAAGTAGCAATCATTATGCAAATGCAGAGGAGACAATGTAGAAGATGAAACCGCAACCGAAGGGCAGTAGTCCCTCCCTTGCACTCACATTTCGCTTTTTGCAGGAGAGGCCATCGGCTACTACCGGGTAGTGGCTTTCATGTTTAAATATTGTATTTCAAGAGGATATTTTATGATCCAACTTGCGCTTCCGGGGCTAGGACCCACTTGCGCGAATTAAGAGATACTGGCCGTAGATAGCAAAGATCAACGGCCGAAATCTCCTAATTTGCGCAAGTGGGACCTTGCCCCCGGTTACGACCTCTTTCCTTTTCAGTACACTTTGTGATTGATATGGGTTACGACCTCTTTCCTTTTCAGTACACGTTGTGATTGATATGCGGCCTCGCCTCACCAGTCTCGAAATGTGAACAACTTTAAAAAAAAACGGAAATGTGGACTGGACAATTCGACTCACCGGTCCTTGAGAAGAGTCTGAACAGTAATGAACACTACCGTCGTCACCCGAATAGAACGCCTGGTAAAAATTATCGCCGTATCTGGACTGAAGGTTGCACCAAATACAGGTATAATGAACGGGCGTTCTTTTCGGGTGCGAAGACGGCAGGTTGCCACCCGAATAGAACGCCTGGTAAAAATTATCTCCGTATCTGGACTGAAACTTGCACCAAATACAGGTATAATGAACGGGCGTTCTTTTCGGGTGCGAAGACGGTTGAAGCGAACGTAGGGGGGAAAGCATTGCGTGAAAAAGAGTGGTAGGCCGAAAGAAGCAGGGGAGAAGAAGGGAAACGACTTCAAACAAGACAGGGGGAAGATCAGCCAGCAGGGTGTCACAACCCTGTGACCCTGTCACTGCAACACCACCAGATAAGGTCATGCCATTTCCACCGATGAATAATATTCTTATGTATTTATGTACTTTTATTTATATATGTCATACTTCGCCAAAGGTGATAATCACACGTGCGTTCACCCGCTAGACCCCTACTATAAACGATGTGTGAATGCGTGTCCATTCAAGTGATCGATCATGTTTATAGTAGGATGGACACGTGGCACGGCTACATAACTCTTGTTTACAAACTGGCCCTTCCTAAATGATGTCGAGGGACGCTGGACCCGTTTTCCAGCAGGTGTTGCTCCCCACCAATAGATGGAGCCTCCCCGAGCATGCTAGCGGTGACTGTTCTTATCAGCACCCCTAGCATTCTCTCGGGTTTTTTTTTCCAAAAAAAAAAAAAAAAAAAAAAAAAAAAGTTTTTTTACGGTTATTTAATATTTACACCTCTAAATAGTAAACGGAGATTCCTCCTTCCTCCTGCGGACTACCAAGACCGCCGAGATGCTGCTAACACCGAGCTACATGCATGCGTACCCCACGCCGTCATTGTTGAAGCTTCTCCCTTCCCACTGTCCCCAGCGCAGGGTCATGACTCATGCGTGATCGAAACGACAGAAACGCTTTGCGCACAGAGTACATCGCCTCCGTACGTGTGCATTCGATCCCTTGAAGATCCTTAACTGAATACGAGTAATCAAGAAAGCTTAGTATGTGGTCTTGTTCACAAAGCTGTCTGTCTGCTGATTTCCTTCTTCATTTTTTTGGTGCTAATATCCGAAAAGTTCGGGAAAACGAAGACTTAATTTGTGCCGAGAGTGCCGATGCCCAGTACCCAAAGGCAACTCAACCGTTCCTTTCACCCTTCTCCTACCTACCCCAGCTCGACACACTCCCATAATCCCATTAGTCACCCCTGCTAAGCGAAGCCTGACCGCAAAAGCGTTCAACCGTCTCCAGGTTACGCTAATTGTAATTGTCAGCGATTCTCTCTTCGAGAAGAGGAGACTGGTACGGGATCCTGCAATATAGCGAGTGTCCTCAACTTCTTTGTATTACGTTTGCTCTTCATCATCTGTTTGTAGGTGGCTCTTACGTTTCTTAAAATAGATTCAATTCGTTCAAAAAGTGGTAGACTGTTAGTTCTTCGGTGAATCAGCAGAGTCGCCGTTGCCGCCGATCCACTTGCAGGTGTCCCGATCGGACTGCCACTTGAGCTTGGAGCAGTTCACCTTCTTCTTGAGGAAACAGCAGTACTTGCCGTCCTTGTAGGGTCTGTTTTTGGGAATCCACGTCAGCCCATAGCAGCGAGGATGAGGAGTGCAGATCTGCTGGCACCCTTCAAACTTGGAAGCGTCGATCCCGTTGTACTTTCTCTTGCAGTCGATCTTCAGGAACGTCTCTTCGTTGTGGTCGTAGTTTTTCCAGCTCATGTACGGAGACCTCACCCATGACGCGGGAGGGCAGCGAGCCTCTACCGGTCCACTGAAGGAGCCGAGCATCATCATCGCCACGACAACCGCAAGGGTTGCCAGAAGAGAGAGGTAAGCCATGCGGCTCTTCATTGTGTGTGGCAGTCTGGCAGATAGGTATAATATCGAAACGCCGCCTTTTACTGCGCCGCCTGACTTAATGTCTGCACCCGTTTCCTCCGTTAAACTTTCTTCCCTGCTGCTGCGCATGCAAGCACACAGACAAATGCACAGGCACAGAGTTAGAGTTGGGTGTGTGGGTGTGTGTTGGAGAGAGAGAGAGAGAGAGAGAGAGGCGAGCTGCGGCAAAACAGCCCGAGTGGCCACAACGAAGTACAGCATAGTATCAGCTTCACGCGAGGTGATAGTCGAAGACAAATGCAAAACTTCATTAAAACCACCAAAACAGAGAGCAACAAGTGGGTCCCGCGACCGATTTCGCCCGTCCACCGGGCATCATCAGGAGGGTGGCTCACAGAGCCTTCGTGCTCGAGAAAAGGGAAGCTCCTGCCATGCTTCCTGACTTATATAACCTCTCGTACCCAGTCACTGGTATGCATAAGTTCGTGTTCCCGCCTGGAAGTATTCGAAGTCTGATCCGAAAATAGCAAGTAGTATCCCCGGCAATCAAGACGCACCTTATCCTCGTCTCACTATTCAGATTCCGATCGCGATCCCCCAAACCGTCAACCCACATCATTACCCCGGTAGTCCCTCTGCACCTCTGTATCGAAGAGTTCTACTAACTTCCGTAAAAAACCCCTTGTCTAGGCGCGCGTTCCGAAAGTCCTACGAACTCTACGGTATCTAGCCCACGTATTCTCCTCGACTGTAGTCCAGCTTCACCAAGTCCCTATCCCGTCCATATTCGCTACGCTTAACCAGGCCGATGAACTGGTAAACTCGGGCAAGACTTACGATCTGGGATTCAAAACTGAAAATTTTAGTACGTCGTATCGTACTTTCGAGCAAAATTCGTCACAGTGACTGTCATACTCATCCGTTCGTCAGCTCAGCCTTCCAAAATAACTAGAACAACCAAAATAGACAAAATAAATAACAAAATAAGTAACAAAATAAGTAACAAAATAAGTAACAAAATAAGTAACAAAACGAGCGATACCGACACCCGCCACTGCTGTTCATTAATTCAGCCTAAGGCTCCGTATACCGGCTCTTCCTTCTCCTGCCGGCCGCGAAGACTAGAGCCGCACATAGGCTCCTGAGTGCCTTGTTCGGCACAGCCTTGGCCAAACTGGCCAGGGCACCGAGAGAGAGAGAGAGAGAGAGAGAGAGAGAGAGAGAGAGAGAGAGAGAGAGAGAGAGGTTGGATGTTTTCAATTTCAATGAGAGGTAGCAATCCGCATGGACATGACGTCTAGTAGAAGGGGGGGGAAACTGTACAGCAATATGGATTTTTGTCTATCGCCCTCGCTCATATTCCTCGTATAAGCAATACATCCTGATTTATTGGGTTGCTCACTCATTACTAGTTTACTACCCAATTTCCGACTTCACAATGGTGTGATAGGGAATGACTTCTGTATGTTGGGGTCTGGTCCCATGTGCATAGACGATTGAATTCAATTCCTCAATGTGGATCTGTTTCTCCGCGGGAGCAGAGAATTGTGATTGATCTGGTAACTATCTGTTTTTTTACGTATCTGCACAAGACACATTCGGATTGCGGAATTAAACCTTATCCTCTTTGGTAATGGTACCAGCCACCTCGTTTGTTCTCACTTTCAAACTACACTTTATCCTTTTCATTATTAAAACACACCACCCACTTCGCTCAGGCCCCCACACTCTATTCATCTGGAATTTACAAAAAACAAAGACCTTTGGGCTACGTAGGAAGTTCTGGTGTACGGAACATTGGGTTACGAAAAGGTTTCGAACAACCCGGTTACCCGGGTCATGGAGACTAGTGAAATCAAACTCGTCTTCTTGTCACTTTGTCATGCCTGCAAACAGGGGTACAGCAACTGGCGACATGCGCCCACACAGTACTCAAGATATCGTAACCAGATATGAGTTCTCTTCAACTGGCTATGGCGACTGGGCGCCCACACAACTCACTGTTCGCACTCTGGATCACCCTGGATGTCCCACACGCAACACTCAGTATCATACACAACACACACACATACTATGCTACAGCTATGGCAGCGCTAGCTG